GGGGGGGGTTTGTCCTCCAAGGCCCTGCTGGGGGTCGGGGGCAGGGGAGGCCTGTTGGAGAAGGGCGAGGAGGAGCTGGAGGGTGTCTGGCGGACGGAGCCTCCTCCAAAAGCAGCACCTCGGTTTCCAGGGAAGGGGGGAGGGGTGGGCCCAGGACTGGGCTGCCTGGGGGCCCCAGGCACTGGTAGGGAGCCCCGGTTGTGAAGGCTTGATTGAATGGGTCTTGGTGTATTGGGAACTGGAGGGGGAATGCTATCAGGCTTTGAGCCCACGTCGGGCCTCGGGGGAGGCATTCGACTCCTCTGAGGCTCTGGGGGACCACTTCTGTGGCCGGGAGAAGGCACAGGAAACCTCCCTGGGCCACTTGGGGGTGAGAAAGGCTTAGCAGATGTGGCTCTTCCTCCTGGTGGCAAAATCGGGGGTCGGCTTCCTCCAGAATCTGAAGAACAAGAAAAAAAAAATCCAGTTAGAAAATTAGGACCCCCTCTCAAAGGAATCAGAGAACTAGAGTACATTCTCAGCTACTGGATGGAAGTCCTTTCCTAGATGCTCTAAAGTATATAGCTATTATTTATATACATCAGGTTCTGGTGGTTCTTCTGGGGGACAGAAGAACAGATCACAGATCCCTGCGCACCTGCTAGTTTCGGGTCCTACAACCTGTAGGCTGACAAAAAAATGCCGGAGAGCCCTGTTGGCATTAGGTGTGGACAAGAACCAGGATTAAGTTGTCAGTGGTTCAGGAGAGCTCCCCATTCATCATGAGAAGAAAAGGACAGGATGGTGTTGGCATGTCTGCTAATGATTTTCTTTCCTCCCTATCAAACATCCCTGTCCTCCTGCTGTACCTCTCAGGTTCGAAAAAATAACAGCCATGTTAGGTGAAAATTAGTTATCTCAAGGTAAATCTCCATTGGGGAGGGCTTACCCAGTCCCTTTGAATAAATTTCCCAAGAGAAGGTAGAAAAATGTCATGGAAGAATCGTTAACTGAAATAAGAAAGAACTAACAAAGGAAAAAGAAATGGTCAGAGTTTGATTGAAAGACTTGACACCGGTGGTTGGTCTTCATCTGCAAAGAAGCAGGCAAACTACACAAGTTCTTTTCCTCACTGAATCACCTTCCACGTCAACACTGGCATGAGAGAACAACCCTATTATGCAATTAATATTAAACTGCTTTGGTTCAACAGAAGGAAACAAAGTTATGGAAAAATTCAAATCACCACCCCAGAATCTCTTGGAACCTAAGGTAATTCTCAAAAAATGGTGACCCTGGAAACTTCTACCACTTCAACTGTGAGTTAATTAATTCCATACCAGATATTAATTGAGTACCAGCTATATACCAGCCATTATTCTAGATGCTAACTCCAGAAGAATATACAAAATAAGAAAAAAATCCTGCTCTCCCGTGGCTTACATTCTTGTGGGAGAGATAAATAATAAACCAGCAAACTTATAAACATTTGCAGATAGTTGTAAGTACTAAAAAGAAACTGAAATAGGTGAGATGGGGAGACCAGATAGATGGGGTGGCTGGCTGGGGATGGCTTTTCTGAAGATACGACATTTGAGCTGAGGCCAGCCATAGAAAGATAGGGAAGAAGGTGCTTTAGGCAGAGGGCCAGCAGGTGCAAAGGCCCTGGAGTGGGAATGAGCTTCAGGTTGAAAAACCGAGGTCTGTGTGCCTGGCATGGTGAGCTGGAGAAGCAAGCGGACCCTGAGTGGCCAGCAAGGGCCAGGTCATAAGGACCCTTATAAAGCAGAGGACTTCAGACTTTTTTTTTTTTTTTTAAAAGACTATTCATTTATTTATTTATTTGAGAGAAAGAGTGTGTGAGAGAGAGAGAGAACATGGCGGGGGGCAGGGGACGGAGCAAAGAGAGAGGGAGAAGCAGACTTCCAGCTGAGACAGGAGCCAGGACTCTGGGATCATGACTTGAGCCAAAGGCAGACACTTAAAGGACTGAGCCACCCCAGGTGCCCCCAGAGGACTTCAGATTTCACCCAAGGCACAATGAGAGACATTTGGATGGATTCATACAGCGGAGTAACATGAACTCTAGAGAGAATTTATTTCAACTTCAGTACCAGAAGAAAGGTGTGTTTCCCTTGACTGTGTGGTATATTTCTAGGTCACCAACCTGTGATAAATTGTATCAGATTGAAGCTGGATTACTCGCCATGTGTACATCACATGAACTGTTCACTGTGTGGACGGTACACTAGGCCGATGTGTATATCTGGTACACCATTTTGTGCACGAACATAATTCCTTCTTCACGTTATGAATTTACTTCCACTTGTCTTTTGCCTTAATTTCTTCACCTGTTGTTAAAGCACTGAATGTCTGCATTTGTCAGCTGCCTCAGTCCTTCTGGTGGGTTTTAAGTAAGTAAATTTATTTTATTTATTTTTTTAAGTCTTTTTTTAAGATTTTATTTATTTATTTGACAGAGAGAGATCACAAGTAGGCAGAGAGGCAGGCGGGGGGGTGGGGAGGAAGCAGGCTCCCTGCTGAGCAGAGAGCCCGATGTGGGGCTCGATCCCAGGACCCTGGGACCATGACCTGAGCCAAAGGCAGAGGCTTTAACCCACTGAGCCACCCAGGCACCCCTTAAGTAAGTAAATTTAAATGTGAATGTAGGTCTGGCAAGACAGAATCTCTCATATTAAGTATCTTTCTAGATTTTGACCATCCAACACTAAATAGTCAGCTAACCGTGAGGATTCAGTGGTTTTGTCTTTATACGATCATGAGAATTTCACACTTTCCCAGGAGACATACGAAACGATCGCAGAATTAGAAACAAAAGTCTTCTAACACAACAAACATTAATACCAAAAATTTTATGGTAAAACTTATTGAGCCTCATGTACTTTGTAAGGTTTTTTATTTGGGCATGACCAGGTTCCATTTTTCTCTCTGCCATTAGGTTCAAGACAATCCCATAGGACTCCTTTCCACGTGTCTGTGCAGACAATATTTAGAATCACTGGCCCTCAAATGCCAGATGTCTGTCATGCAAAACACTTTTCTAGATTTAGTGAGACATGTAATTACATTCCATATAACACACTCCACAGTGTTTTGGAAAGTGGCTCACAGGTATTTTCCATACTAGACAGCTGGGTCAGGCTGCCTCACAAAGAAAAGGTGAATTTGCCAGGTCACCAGGCAGACCTTCCAGCAGTGGCCAGTTCCATTTGCTCCTCCTTTTCCTTCCCACTCTAGCTCACCCTTTAGAAAAGTACAAAAAAGTACAAGTTACCCTGAGGACACAGGGCAAATATTTAACAGCTCCATGGAGTGGTCTGATTTTGATTTAAGAAAAAAAAAAAAAAAGATGCTAAATAGAGTCTTTCTTGTAAAACAATGTTACATTTCAAGCGATCTAAAATGTTTTAAAGGGCACAGTGCCTTAGAGGGGATGCCAAGCCTCCAAACCATGAAACTTGGCCTCACCTTGTTGCTAAGAGACAAAGAAACTCTCCTTACCACCATCCCTGTTGGCTGTGGATCTCAGCTTCGGCATCCCAGCCTGAAACAGTCCTCCCAAGCCAGGTGGGGCACCTCCTCCAAAACTGCTGCCGCCGCCGCCGCCACCGAAGCCACCACCGCCACCACCGCCACCAGCACCGGCTCCTTTAGGTTCTGCAGAAGGAAGGAAACACTCTCTTCACTGTGTATGAAAACAGCACCAGAGTACAGCCTGAGCCCAAGTACACAATAAACAATGTGGGTCAAACAGGGAGCTGGCTCCAACTGGGCCTGTGCGTGACTCCTGGGATTTCATGAAAAAGCAGTATTTTAACAATTCACCGTACCCCTGGTCAGAAAAGGAAGGGTTTTGCTTTTCACTCCAGGGCGGTCTCAGGCCCCAGAGCAGGAGAATTAGTGATAGATGATGCCTTGCCCCCATGCTCCCTGCTTGGCTAGCTGCTGTATGAGTTATTACCTGTATCCTAAGATTTGGCAAATAAAAGAATCTTCAAAGAAAGCAAATCCCAAAGGAGGGGGAGATATAATAAAAGGTGGTAAAAAGGAGAATCGTAAAAATAAAAGGAAGAAAATAAAATATCCCGTAATTTTGGAAATTAATACACTACTTTGGTGTATTTTTTCCTGCTAGTACTTTTTTATTTTATATTTTTTTCTCAAAATTAAGACCAAATTCACTAAACAGCTTTTAGCCTCCTCTTTTCACTTAACACTTTATTGTTAGCATTCCCATGTCATCAAATACTCTTTGAAAACACAAGTTTAAGGGACCACATTGTGTTTTAGGGCATGAATATATTGTGGTTCTTTTGACCATCTATTTATTTGATGACCTCATGGTTTGATTTCAATTTTCTAATAGCATAAAGCCCAACAGTAGGCTTAAACATTTTAAAAAACTCCCTGCAGCTGAAGATGGTACAAAGATTTTGTTTTATTTATATTTATTTATTTATTTATATTTATATGTATTTTAATATATTTTATATATATTCATATATTTCATATATATTTATATATTCATATATTAATTTATATATAATATATATTTATTATTTATTTATTTATATTTATTTTTATTTATATTTATTTATTTGTTTTATTTTGTATTTACTTCCCCAAGCCTGTGGAGGATCCTGAAATGGGTAAATAGACAACAATGTAAAGAAAGAAAAAAAAGAAAGAAAAAGAAAGTAAAAAGAAGATTACTAAGTATCCTGTCTAGCCTTTCGGGTTATTTCCCTTGTCTATGACATATTATACAACTCTGTAAGTTGCAGAAACCTGATAATAATTGTCCATAGAAATGTAAAATAGTTGTGTTCAGCGTCATGCAATTGACTTCACACAGGTTTACCTATCTGTAAATTCATTTCAGCTCTGATGTGTGTGGTACTTTGAACTCTCCTTTGCACTGGTAACAGTATACTACCTCCCTCAGTAGTTAATGACTTAAATAAAATATTTGACATATGTTTGTTTTATATCTATATGAGAGCCATGACTATAACCCTTTTAAAGAAGTGTCTCGGGGTGCCTGGGTGGCTCAGTGGGTTAAAGCCTCTGCCTTCGGCTCAGGTCATGATCTCAGAGTCCTACGATCGAGCCCCACATCGGGTTCATGATCTCAGAGTCCTGGGATCAAGCCCCACATCGGGCTCTTTGCTCAGCAGGGAGCCTGCTTCCTCCTCTCTCTCTGCCTGTCTCTCTGCCTACTTGTAATCTCTGTCAAATAAATAAATAAAATCTTAAAAAAAAATTTAAAGAAGTGTCTCATACAATTTATGATGTATGTATGTATTGTATGTTTGTATTTAAGAGGTTTAACATTGTTTAAAGTTTTATCCCTGGAAAACCTTCTAGAGTCTTTGACAGGCAATATGAAATCTACAAATCAATAAGGGAGGACTGACACTTTTATGATATTTAGACTATATGGAAACATGGTATACTCTCCCATGTCTTCTGCTACATTCAATCAAGTTTTATAATTTTTCCTGATATGGGTCACATATGCTTCTTGTTAAGGTTACTTTGATACATTTTTGTTTGTTGAAACTGTGAAAGGGGTGTTTGCCCCCTTTTGTAATTGGTTATCATTGGCATCAGAAAATTTCGGGGCACCTGGGTGGCTCAGTGGGCTAAGCCTCTGCCTTTAGCTCAGGTCATGATCTCAGGGTTCTGGGATCGAGCCCCGCATCTGGCTCTCTGCTCTGCAGGGAGCCGGCTTCCCCATCTCCCTCTGCCTGCTGTTCTGCCTACTTGTGATCTCTCTCACTCTGTCAAATAAATTTTAAAAAATCCTTAAAAGAAAGAAAATTTCATTTGACATCTAATAAACCATTCTGCTAATATTTTCTAAATTAAAATTTATTTAAAAATTATTACCTTGGATTTTCTACTAGACATATGGTCTCCAAATAATAAAGGTTTTGGTTCCTCTTGTATCTTATCTTTGTTCTAGTTTATATAAGTAATTACTTTGATGACTGAACTTCCATATGATATAAATTATTAATATTGCTACAGGCAACCATAGTTTGCTTTTAATGAGCATGCCTTTAACCCGGGAACTACTGGCACTTTAGGGCAGATAGTTCTTTGTGGGTGGTTGTCTTGTTCTCTGTTTCCAGCATGCCTGGCCTTCACCCACTAGATGTCAGTAGGAACCCCACCTTGGCTAAGTTGTGACAAATAAAAATGCCTCCAGACATTGCCACAGGTCTCCTGGGACACTGATAGATAGCTTTCTTTTTGTGTTTGTGCTGCCTAGGTCAAGTTTGAGGTTAGGACCATGTGAATCCCATTATATCGATCAGATAGCTTTTCCTCTCTTCCTATGTTTGGGAATGATTTGTATAGCCTTTGAATAAGCTGTTTCTTAAAATCTGGAAGAATTCACTGATAAAGTTATCTGGCTCTAAAGCTCTTTAGAGAGAAAGCTAGAAAAAGTGTTCAACTTCGCCATGCTCGTTGAAGCCTTATGAGTGAATTTTGATAAATTTATGCTTTTTGTAAAACATTAATTTCTTTAAGATTTTAACATGTTTTAGCATATAAATGCATCACAGCATCCTTAATTTTGAAAAAACCTGCATTAAATCTCTCACTAATCTATGCTGAGTCCTACTTTTATTCATTTGTGTTTTCTTTTCTTCTCGATTAGACTGATCCTAAGCCTGTGTTAGCTCTGCACTTTTTTTAGGGGTGGAGCTTTCTGGGATACCTTTGGGAAATCTGCTGAAAGAAGAAATAACCTGATCATGAACTGACAAGGATCACCTCACCTAACAAATCAAATTACAATAACAATTTCCAGAAGTATATGCAAAATGGCTCCTGTTACGAAATTACAATTTTTTTTACTAATTTTAATTATTACTGATAATAATAATATGCTCTTGACACTCAAATATTACTCATTAATTAATGATACATTTTGGAATGCTGCATTTAAAGAGGATACCTTTACATGGCAGCGGACATTCAAAGAGACTGATGCACTATCAGACATCATTCATCAGTGCTCTTAACACAGACCTTTGGAGCATCTTTCAGAGAGAAAAGCTAAAGTAGTTGATGAACGCTTACTGGCTCCTGGTCACTTCCTTAGGAGTCACACTGCAGGACGAGGCTGAAATAAGAGCATTATCCTGCATAACCACGGTCAACATTTTGACATAGAACCCAGGCAGGCTTCAGCTGCAAACAAATATAAAGCTATGGGTGGACCATGCCACTTACAGAGCCCATGACCACGGTACCAGCGTCCGCTAAGTGCACGGACGACAGGGCATGAGCTGGCTTGCATCTTGTGTACATGAAGCAAAGCACGTTCATAAACATCACTGAACCGCTGGAAGGGAGAAGAGCTAACATTTCTTTCCATTGAATGGCAGGAGAAGGGGACCTTGAAGAATACAGTTAGTTTCTAATAGTGGATTCAGGAATAGGCCACAGACTGTCCAGTGTTCTTCAGTATCAGTGGGGAATTCACATCTACCTCTCTCGAGCCCCCGGCTCCCCCTCCTAGGGGAAAGAACGACTGAGCTGTGTTCCTGACGTCAGCAGTGTGCAGAGCGCCTCTGGCCCCATACCTTGCACTGGGACTCAGACAGCTTTGGACCAAGGCTCCCCAGAGGTAAGTGGTGCTGGGCTCCCTTCAGGGAGAATTTTGTGACACCAATCAGGAGGATTAAGGGATTATAAAATAACCCGATCAGTTTCATAAGCTTTTCAAAAACAATTTTGATGAGAGAGAGAGAGAGCAAGAGAAGAAACCCAAGCAGGGGGAGAGGAGGAGGGGAAGCAGGCTCCGCCCTGAGCAAGGGGCCCAATGCGGGGCTCCATCCCAGGACTCTGGGACCATGACCTGAGCCCAAGGCAGATAGATGCCTAACGACTGAGCCACCCAGTGCCCCTCGTGGACATTTTGACTAAGAGGTAACTGTGTCCAGTCAAGTTTAAAAGTCCCCATAGTTTCTTCTGGAGAATGGTGTACTCTCTCCCCTGCAACACACAACCTGACACAGCAGAGCAATGTGCAAAAGCCTTTGTCTTGGTCTTCCTCTTTTCCATTTTCCTCCCATACTAATGTTCTCACCTAACTCTGAGCCTTCTTTCTTCTCTACTCATTAGGCGCTTTTCCTAGAAATTCTTCCTAAATACTTCTACTCCTCGACTTGGCTAAAATCCTGCATCCACTGGTCACCATCTACAAAACTCCCTGTGGTGATTTTTGGAAAGTCAGTCTATTTCCTGTTGAGTCCAAATGGGATCTGGGTGTAGGATATGGGTAGCCGGCAGTGGAAGGGTCTAGGAATGTGTGGAGACAGTTTCAAGGCCTAGTTATTAACTACCAGTAGATTCAAGTCATGGATAAGTTTTCATTCTGTGGTAAATGTTAACAGGAGTTCTGTGTTGTGGGTACCTGCTTGTTTTTACATCCCCTGGCTTATTCTAGAAAGTTCCTCAGACTTACGATGGGTAGATAAGCAAAGTTGTGATCTCATTTCCTCTCTCTCTCCCAGCTCCAGAAAATCATACCTTACACTTGAATGACACATCCCAGCCCACAGAACACTTTTGCATTGTCTCGTCTGCTGCTCACAGCAAACTGTGAGGACAGCAGAACAGCCATTATCTCCATTTTACAACTGGAAAACAATAATGTGTGGAGATGGTTAAGTGATGGATGTGCCAGAACTCGAACCTACACCTGTTGATTCCAAGGCTGGGGCTCTTTCCATATTTCATGCAGCCTTTTGATCTGTGGTGCAAAGAGTAACGGGTTAACTTCCAGAAAGTGTGGTGAATAATTCAGAGAATCACTGCTGTGTGTGTCTTGGACAAAGAATTATTATACTGGCTTCCTGCAGCATTAGAGGGAACCCAAGCCGGAGCTGTGGCCACAATGAGTGATACAGTCCCTTATTTTGCTAGCTTTGCAGCTGTTGTTAACAAAAACAAAACAAAACAAAACAAAACAAAACCAACCACTTTTTGGAAGGATAGGGCTGATTGTTAGGCCATAAATCACTTATCTCCATGGAAAACAGCTTTTTTCACTTACTGTCCAATATCGGCGCACTCCTGTCATTGGTGACTGTCTTCTTCAGTTTCTTCCCTTTGCTGATGTCAGAGAGAAGAGCATTTCTCCCAGCCTGTTCTGACTTATTCAAGGTAGGCTTTTCCGTATTGGCCTGAAAGGAAACCATGCAGACTTACAGTCATCTCTTGAATTAAAATCATATACTACAACACTCAGAGGGGACAGCTAGAGTACTGCAAGCTTGTTACTGAGGTTCTTGGCAATGGTTGTAAATTCTCCACAAGTTTTAGATCCGCTGTCATTCTTTTTAAGACCCAGACATTTGGGAACAGATGAAGCAATAAATTACATTCATTTTTAATGCAGGAAGAGTCAGTCCCTGATAAAAGTCTCTAAAAATTCAGACCACAATCTGGTGGTCACCAAAAGAGCCAGGGTTGGATGGCTCAAAACAAGAAGGGAATTTCGAGATTCTGCTAGATACTACAAGGCTTCATACTCCAGAATGTGTCCTGAAGAATAGCTTCTCTCTCCTATCTTTTAGGGCTAATCTGGAGCAAGGGGAAAATTGTCTCTAGCAAAAAGGGTCAGTTGCATGTGTTTTAAATTCATCCAAGTTTTAGAAAATAATTCCCTCTGTTTACATTGACAAAGATTTTTTTCTTTTTAAGTTAGGGCAGATTTGAGGTGTAATTTCCATAATAATCAAGTCACTACTTTAGTGTATAGTTCTACAGGTTTTGAAAAGGATACATTCATGAGACCACCACCACACTCAAGATCTAGAACACGTCCATAAGCCCCCGAAGTTCCCGCATGTCCTTGCCTAAGGTGTTTCTCACAAAGAATTCCTTTGAAAGCTTAGCTCACAGAGATTGCAGAGTGGACAAAGGTGCTGCTTTAAAATGCTTAGGTGTTTTCTCACTTTTCTGGAATGCCTGGGAAAGATCCGTACTATGAAACCGGGATGTTGCCTCCTCAGGGTTATTTTAGGGAGCAGGGACACTGAGAGCCTAGAGCACAGGACTCGGAAGTAGTAGGCATGTGCCTGGGTCTGTCACATGGGGAAACTGGCTTGGTCTGGCCTGGCCCTCGGCAGAGGTGACTTCCCCAAACCCAGTGGTCCTTCCAGCAGCCCTCAGAGGCCTTTCAGGCTGGTCCTAGCCCTTTTGGAAGGATCTGATTCCAGAGGAGCCGGTGGGGGGCGTAGGAGGTAAAGATGGAACCGGCTAGCTTGCTACCTCACCCAGCGATTTATTACGAGCTCAGGCAGAAGGAAAGCTAAGAAAAACCCTGAAGCAGGATACACAGAAGCTCTCTGTTAAGGTGAAAGGGTCCTGGAATAATTATAAGGTATTACTTGCTCATAATAACAGCAGTTAACATTTTATAAAGCGTGTACTATGGGCCAGGCACTGCTTTTACCTCATTTACGTGTATTAATTCATTTAGTCCTCATCAGCCCTGTGAGTCATTATTTCCATTCTAGAGACAAGAGAGCAGAGGCACAGGGAGGTAAAATCATTTGCCCCGGTCACCGAGACAGTTAGAGGAGGACCCTAGGATCCAAACCCCGGCAGTGTGATTCCAGAGCTTCCCCTGTAACTTGCAGAAGGGGAAACGTGGTATCTAACATGCACCTTGCCCACACTAGGGAGCGGCTGTTAAAGGTACAAACTCACAACCAGAAGACGAGCAAGTCCTGGACGAGTACAGCATGGTGATGAGAGTCAACAATATTGTATTATAAACTTCAAAGCTGCTAAGAGACTGGGTCTTTGATGTTCTCACCAGGAAAAAGGAATGATAATTGCGTGATGTGAAAGAGGTGTTAGCTAAGCTCAGGTGGTAATTACATTAAATACAAAAATGTAGCAAATCAACATGCTGTAGGACTTAATCAATAATACCTCAGTTAAGAAAAGTAACAAAATACCCCTTCCCCACCTGCCTGCGACACTGCCCTGAGCAAGCCTGTGAATATCAGCTTCCGATCGTTCGAGAAGGGCTCTTACATGCACAGCTCCAGTGTGCTAATGGAGTCATCCTCTGTTGCTCTGAAACTTAGTTTTTCAACTTGATGACACATCTTGGACATCTTGGGGTGAACTCTTAAGATCACCTACTGTCTTCTTTAAGGATGAAACAATTTTCACCGGCCTCCCGTGATGCCTCCAAGTGTCTTTTGGTGCCTGATCTCCTTGGGCGCGAATTCCTCTCCGGTGGGCAGTCTGGAGCCCTTCACTGAGCTGTCCCACCAGACAGTGCCCTGCGACAGCCACCAACCCACCTTTCCCTTTGCTCGTCTCTGTACCCTACTTCTCTAGGATCTTGCTTTAGGTCACATAAAAATGGATAGAAATGAATAAATAAATAAATAAATAAAGTATAGAAATGAGTTGATGGAATAAATTTCAGTCACTGCAGTACCACCTGAATGTCTTCTCAGCTCTCTGTCTTACTATTTATTTAATATTTTTCATTAAGTCAGTTCACTATATTATTTATACAATTTTTCAGTGAATATTTTCTTTTAAATTAACTCACCATTAAACCCTTAGTTTAATGTAATAGTTATAAATTTTAGAACATATTAAAATAAGTACATGAGCATTAAAATTAAAAAAAAATCCACATACTACCTAGCTAGTGGATAAAACCACACTTTTGGGGAAATAGAGATAAATAAATCCTGCTATGTTAGCTCGATCAGAATTTTTCTTTCTTTTTCTTTCTTTTTTTTTTTAGATTTCATTTATTTGAGAGAGAGTGAGAGTATGCATGAGGGGAGGGGCAGTGAGAGAGGGAGAAGCAGACTCCCCATTGAGCAGGGAGCCTGATGCGGGGCTCGATCCCAGGACCCTGAGAGCGTGACCTGAGCGGAAGGCAGAGGCTTAACCCACTGAGCCACCCAGGCGCCCCTGGATCAGGATTTTTCAAACTTATCTGAGTGAAGGATCAATTTCAATTTTTTTCCCCCAGTTCACCTTGGAATGATACTTCTGTAAAATCACAATTAATTATTAGAAAAATGAATTAGGGTCACCTGGGTGACTCAATCCCTTAAGCATCTGACTGTTGGTTTCAGCTCAGGCTATGATCTCAGGGTTGTGAGATCGAGGCCCATGTCAGGCTCCCGGCCGGGCAGGGAGTCTGCTGAAGATTCCCTCTCTCCCTCTCCCTCTGCCCCTCCCCCTTCCTGCTCACACGTGCACACTCTCGCTCTTTCCCTAAAAATACACAAGTAAGTAAATATTTTTAAAAAGAATAATGAATTACTTAAAAAAAGAGACCCACGAAATACAATCTTAGAAACAACAGACATAACACTACTGTCAAATTGCTGTGTTTCTTAATGCTTATTCTTTCTGTACTTGTCTCCTTGGGGCCGCTAAGCAGCAGCTGGAGGACCACACTGGGTAGCAACAAGCTGGTTAATTGTTTGTTCTTCTAATTGGGTTCCAACCTCAGATGGGCTACATAAATGTGTCCTGTGGAAGCCTGAGCAAGAGACTTTTCGTCTCTGAGCCTCCATTTCCCCAAGTGAAAAGGACCCATCAGCAGTGAAGCCTTCTCATGCTGAGGGAGGTAATGGGGCAAGGGGGTGCATCTGGGAGCCTTTTCTGTGTCACCATGGGGAGGGCTGCTGGCTTCCTGTAAGAAGGTACACTAATTTCTGAGGATAGGTCTATCAAGAGACCAGGAGGAGCCCAGTGAAGAAATTCCTTTGGAAAGTAGACATCTAAATGTAAGGACAGATTTAAAGATTTATTTATTTATTTGAGAGAAAGAGAGAGAGAGAGAGAGAATGAGCAGGAGGGGCAGAGGGAGAGGGAGAGAATCTCGAGCAGACTCCACATGAGCACAAGCCCTATCTGGGGCTCAACCTCATGACCCTGAGATCACAACCTGAGCTGAAACCAAGAGTTGGAAACTTACCTGTCCGCATCACCCAGGTGCCCCTGCAAGGACAGATTTAAAGAAGGATGTGAGTGTGGGGGAAGTGGGAGTGAGGGAGTAGTGGATGGTATTTGCCAAAAAGAAGAGTGGGAAGAAGGGAAGGAGGGAAGAGGGAAAGAAGGGAAAGTCAGAGAAAAAGAAAGAGTGAGTCTGCAGGAGCGTGAATGACCGCATTGCATACATAGACCAGGGTTTCTGGACCGTTCTGTCCAGAAGTTAAAGGGTAGAAGTCAAGCCCATTGAACGACAACAGAGCATGCCGGGCAGAACCCCAGTACTGGGAAGGGACAGGATGTTTCCCTGATGGACCTGACAGAGGAAACCCCACGAACGTGCACCCCACACATGTCCTCTGTACCACCTGAGACCTCTGACAACCGGCCCCCCAGGTCTCAGGGGTTGGCTTACTTGCAGCGGGAAAACCTGCCCCACGGTTTTCAAGCCATAATGCAAATACATGCAAAACAAATGCATGGGCGCCCAGGTTCGACTTCATCTGGGCTGCTTCGTGCACCATTCGGGGTCGTCAAGGGGCCACTCACCAGAGCAAATGTCGGCGGGGGCGGGGGTGCTGGAGGGGGAGGGACAGGCATCTTGGACAGCTACACGTTCAACAGTCTTGCTGGTCACTCTGTAAAAACAAAGCAAAAACAAACAAAACTTGGTCATGGATTAGACTTTTTAGTAATACTTTGTTCTAATCTTCCTTCCCTCCTTCCCACCAAAGGGACAGCTATTCACGAAGATTAGATTTTTTTTGAGAGAGAGGGGGTTGGGGTGGGGCAGAGGAAGAGAATCTCAAGCAGACTCTGTGCTGAGTGCAGAGCCCATCACCGGGCTCGATCTAGGACTTGGAAATCATAACCATGAGCCAAAACCAAGAGTCCGATGCTTAACCGACTGAGCCACCCAGGCGCCCCCAAGGGGTGTAATCATCTTTATGACATTGCTAAGATGTGACTCTTCTGGAAGGACCCTAGTAGGGGAGGTTTCTGAGCCCAAATGCCTTAAGATATTGGAAGCAAAATTGGTGCCTCACACTGCTCAATTCCCTTACCCACCAGAGCAGATCTGGGAAACAACACCCAGAGCCGGCATAAGCTGGAAGGTGGTTTTCTTCTTGCAAATACCTGGCATTCGCCTGGGACTTGGCACGAACTGTAGGCACGCAAAGACGAATATTTTTCTGGTCTTGCCCTCAAAGTTCTCACAGTCCTCCAGGGAAAGAAGGCAGGAATAAGGTAAGGCAGGCAGGTAAGATGGGCAAGGGGGCCAGATGCCATCTTTGTGCTACTGGGCATTTCCATATAGGAACGAAGTTTTTTAAAAGAGGGGGAAAAAGAGACAAGGTCCAGACTTCAGAGTCCCAAGCTGTTTACTAGAAATACACTTCATTAGAAAGGCTTTCTGAATAGTGCGACAGCTCTGGGAACAAGGGGAAGTCAGATGGTGGCGGGCTGGGAGAGTTCAGGGAAAACCCGGCCCGTGGCCGTGGGAAGGGGCAAACATCAGGGGCTGAAGAACCTACTGGACGAGGAAGCTTCCCAGCACTTCCTCCAGTCATGAATCCTCCTCCCCGCTCCGTTTTCAGGGTCCCATCCCTGGGTCCCAGGACCAGTGTAGGGCCAGGCGCTCTCACCCCCAAGTAATCTGGGCTCCTCCCATCCAGTCCCAGCTCCTCAAGTGTGGTCCTGGGTCAGCAGCAGGGGCGTCACCCCGAGCCCTTAGAAATGTCAAATCTCAGCCCCTCTTTCTACCCACCGAATTTGTTTCAGCACTTTAACAAGATCCTGAGGTGATTCGTGGGCACTAAAATTTGAACTGCCTGTTGTAGAATCTGAGTCTTAAGCCAGTGGGCAGCCTGGGACACTCCCCACCTGAACCACACGGAACATGTGTCCTGAATTTCAAACACAGAATTAAAAAAATAAAAGATTTTATTTACTTATTTGACGGAGAGAGGGAGTGAGCAGGAGCGCAAGCAGGGGGAGTGGCAGGCAGGGGAGAAGCAGGCTCCTCCCAGAGCAAGGAGCCCCACGTGGGGCTCGATCCCAGGATCCCGGGATTATGACCTGAGCCGAAGGCAGATGCTTGACCACTGAGCCACCTAGGGGCCTCTCAAACAACAGAATTATCTTTCTCTTGTTCTCCACGTCTCTTAATGGAAGAAAACAATTAGAATTTTAAAAAATTCAGTTCAACCATGAACAGTTAATGTGGGAAAACTTACACCGTGAAACAATACTTTCTATTAAAGTATTGTTAGATGGCTTGCTTTCTGTTAACAGAAAGGGAACGCAAAATCTAAAAGGACATGTCTGGACTTGTCAAAGCTGCTGGAAGACAGGAATTAAGACAGTTCGGGCATTCCAAGCGGACTGCCAAGAAAATGAATTTTCAGAAACACCGCCCAGCACAGCTGCTGTCACTTAATGATCATTTCGATCGAGGGCACCTCCAGGGTCTCTAAGTCCTACAGGGATGCCAAAGACTAGCATGATTCCACCCATTTCACAGGGGACACTGGGACTCGGAGAAACTGAGCAACTCACAGAAAGACCCTAATTCATTCACAAGTCCTCTGAATCCCTGGTCTTTTTCGAGAAGACTTTTTGGACTGTAAAGAGGGAAGCAGTGCTACAGCTCGATCCGTTTTTCCCTGAGAGACTGTCTCAGATGAAGCTTCTTTTAAAACGTGTTCCTTAAATGGGCCTTTCCTGCATGACACCGGCTCGTCACCTGCGGGGCTGCATGGGTAGTGTGACCAGTGTTGAGGGCAGGCCTGTGCCATGAAGCCTGTCCTGCGGCAGAAGGCACCCGAGGCCTCACTGTGGCACGCATCCTAGGACCAGGAGGAAGGACGGGCATCGGAAACCGGATTCAGGCGCAACGGACTGGGAAAGACGCTGCCGCCGGAGCCGTGGTACTAACGGAGCTGGAGAAGGCAGCTTACCAAGGGAGAGGGGGTGGCCAAGGGCGCCTGGAGGGCCCCAGGGGTACGCTCCGTGGGACAGATCATCCATGTGCCTGATGATGAAACCGCCCTCAACCCTCTCATGCACTGAGTCGAACTCCCCGCTTCACCAGCTAACCTGCCACCCCATTATCCTAACACCGAGCCAGGAAGGAGTAGGCTCTGGTCGACCACCAGAAACCTCTTACAGGCCCGTTCTCATGAGTCAGTCCCCGCTTGCAAAGATCGGGTTGAACTCCTGATACAGCTCAGGAGCCACACTGGGGTACAGGGAGCCTTTCAGGGGACTGCCACCTGTCAGGCCTTTCTAATCTAGTTATATAATTTTCTGCTGTGGCTGTTATGGTTCTGTCTGTGCACTAACTGACTTATAAATAAGCCTGTGGACCACAGAGGCTCAGCCTCCCCCCACCTCCCTGCCCCAGTGGCCCCAGCCCAACCTCGGGAGGAGATCTGTGGCTGAGCGCCCTCACCATTCTCTCCTCTCCGCTGCTGCTGCCACTTCCCCAGTCCCCGTCTCGCCTCCGTTCTCCAGGCAAACTACTCCCACCTGAAGGCTCGAAGGCACTGACTTCGGGATCTCTCTGTCCCTTCCTGCTTATCTGGGCTTGTCCAGCGGGGAACCTGGAGGGAAGCTTTTGAGAAACCCCAGACTCCAATCTTGCCACCTTACCTCATGGGTCAAAGAAGACCAATTCATGTCCCCCATGCCATGCTCCTTCCTGGCTGTCTCCCCACCAGACGGAACTCGACCAGCTCTCCCTAACATCTGATCCAAAGTAGGGTTCTCACTAAATATGTGTGGAGTGAAAGAGCCAGGTATCGCACAAGCAAGCCATGTGCTGGCCACTGCAACAGCTCCCAGAGTCACCCCTTGTGCATTCTGAGGTTTGGACGAAGAATGAGCCCTAGGTCAGAAGGGTTTGCTAGCCGTTAGCCCTGGGACCAGCTGTCCTGGTAGTCTGACTTCACCAGTGAAGCAGAACCCAAAGCCTTGGGACAGTCAGTGTTCCCTCCTCTCTGGAGTTAACATCCCACATCAGAACCAGAAAAGGACCTTCCTGAAGGACCTCACAGCAGCATAGATCCTAATGGACCCAGCATTCCTAACCTGGATCCTTATACCTGGAGGGTCTGTGGACAGAATTCAAGGTTTTGTGAACTTGAATGGAAAAAAAAAAAAAAAAAGGACCTATTTAGTTCCCCTAAACTCTAACTAAAATCTAGCACTTCCTTCAATTATAAATGTAGGCTGAAAACCACAGTACCTAACTTTTTCACGAACAGTTTTTCACATCTTATTTCCACATCATGTTACAATTGTCGCAGATCTCTTTTGAAATTACAGCAATGTTTGGATCTGTTGCTAGATCTTGTTGTACACACTTCAGTATAACTAGTTTCCTTTGTATCCTCTGTATTTTGTTTTATGCCTTAATTTTTTTTAAGATTTTATTTATTTGACAGAGAGAGAGAGAGACAAGTAGGCAGAGAGGCAGGCAGAGAGAGAGGAGTAGGCAGGCTCCCCGCTGAGCAGAGAGCCTAAAGCAGGGCTCGATCTCAGGACCCCAAGATCATGACCTGAGCTGAAGACAGAGGCTTAACCCACTAAGCCACGAAGGCGCCTCTGTTTTATGCCTTTAGTAACAGTCAGAGAAGGTGTCCTTTGGGGTTTATCGAACACTAGTGTGATCTATGGATGAAAAAGGCTAGAATCCCTGTGAGGACGAGAGACCAGGGTCAGGCACATGTCATTTTGACTCTTTGCCGTCATACCTACCCACCTGGGGTAAGAGACTACCCTCTCTGCACCTTGTGGAACAGAGTTGTGGGAGGATGAATGGAATGGTACACAGCACGCCTCCAGGTGGGTCAACGACCAACAGATGGGTCTAGATCTGTCTTTCTTGAATGTAAGCATGGGTCTGCTGGTGTGAGTGCTGCTGGGGCACTTGGCAAAGGAGGGATTGACCTGGCACCTAAGCCAAAGCCCTGGCTTTCCCCAGAGTCCCCTGTGGATAGAGCTGTGTAAATTGGGATGGAAGCAGCCTGAAGACTTGGCCTTGTGTTTAGTTCTTGCTTTGGGAAGAGCACGAAAGGAAAGACAGCCTTGTCCTGGGGCCAGGAGGGGCTCTAGAACAGGGGAAATACTAAGGCATGGGTTCCCAAAATGTGGGTTATCTCTCACATCAGAATTAGCTGTGAATTTTTTGAGAACAACACATCCTGCTTTTCCCCCAGTTAGGTTCCCGAAAGTTGAAGAATCCCTGATTTTTCCCCTCCTCCCTATCCCCACCCTGGGCACTGAACTTTTAAGCATATACACTTTTGGGGCATCTGGGTGGCTCACTGGGTTAAAGCCTCTGCTTTCAGCTTGGGTCATGATCCCAGGGTCCTGGGATCGAGCCCCACATTGGGCTCTCTGCTCAGTGGGGAGCCAGCTTCCCCCACCCCCCACCTCCGCCTGCCTCTCTGCCTACTTGTGATCTCTGTCAAATAAGTAAAATCTATTAAAATAAAAAAAGAATATACACTTTTGAGAATTAATTTCTTTTAAAGAATCATTTCCCTGTTTAAATAACTTTCATCATAAGGACAAAGCCAGACTTGTCTAAAATGTTCACGTTGCGTGTTGAATTTTATAAGCCCAAAGAAAA